ACTGTCCTAGACTACGATAAGCGCAGCCGAGATTGCCATAACTCTTTCCCTCTCCGGCCTTGTCTCCCACTTCTTTAGCAATTTCAAGATGACGTTGATGATATTGGATTTCTGTTTTGAACTGTCCTAGATGATGATAGGCACAGCCGAGATTGGCATAACTGTTTCCCTCTCCGACCTTGTCTCCCACTGCTTTGGTAATTTCTAGGTGACGTTGATGGTACTGGGTTGCTGTTTTGAACTGTCCTAGACCACGATAAGCGCAGCCGAGGTTGGCATAGGTCCTTCCCTCTCCGGCCTTGTCTCCCACCTCTTTAGCAATTTCTAGATGACGTTGATGATACTTGATTGCTGTTTTGAACTGTCCTAGACGACGATAGGCACAGCCGAGATTGGCATAACTCTTTCCCTCTCCGGCCTTGTCTCCCACTTCTTTAGTAATTTCTAGGTGACGTTGATGGTACTGGATAGCTGTTTTGAACTGTTCTAGATCAAGATAAACGCAGCCGAGTTTGGCATAAGTCCTTCCCTCTCCGGCCTTGTCTCCTACGTCTTTAGCAATTTCTAGATGACGTTGATAGTAATCGATTGCTGTTTTGAACCGTCCTAGACCATTATACGCGCAGCCGAGATCGGCATAACTTGTTCCCTCTCCGGCCTTGTCTCCCACTTCTTTAGCAATTTCTAGATGACGTTGATGGTAATCGATTGCTGTTTTGAACTGTCCTAGACCATAATAAGCGCAGCCGAGATTGCAATAACTGCTTCCCTCTCCGGCCTTGTCTTCCACTTCTTTAGTAATTTCTAGGTAACGTTGATGGTACTGGATTGCTGTTTTGAACTGTCCTAGATAACGATAAACGCAGCCGAGGTAAGCATAAGATCTTCCCTCTCCGGCCTTGTCTCCTACTTCTTTAGCAATTTCTAGATGACGTTGATAGTAATCGATTGCTGTTTTGGACTGTCCTAGACTACCATAAGTGCAGCCGAGATTGCCATAACTCTTTCCCTCTCCGGCCTTGTCTCCCACTTCTCTAGAAATTTCTAGATGACGTTGATGATACTGGATTGCTGTTTTGAACTGTCTTAGACGACGATAGGCACAACCGAGATTGGCATAACTCTTTCCCTCTCCGGCCTTGTCTCCCACTTCTTTAGCAATTTCTAGATGACGTTGATAGTACTCGATTGCTGTTTTGAACCGTCCAAGACTGTGATAAGTGCAACCAAGATTGGCATAACTCTTTCCCTCTCCGGCCTTGTCTCCCACTTCCTTAGCAATATCTAGATGACGTTGATGGTACTCGATTGCTGTTTTGAAGTGTCCTCGATTATGATAAGCTATTCCTAGAAGATTACAGTGGATTCTCTCTTCGGTCCTTTCTCTGTCTTCTTTTGCATTTCCTATAATACGCTCGTGGCTCCCTATTACTGTTTTAGATTTGCTTAATAAATGAAGCAGAGGTTTGTTATCCTTGTCAATCTTAAAACGGGTCAAGAATAGATAACTGAACGGTAATGTGCGAAAATTTCAATAAGAATAAAAATGTGAGAGGTATTATTCTACAAGTTGAGACATTTCTTGAGTGTGATTCGGTCAGAACTTAAGTATTTCAGTCAAATCCTAAAACCTTACATTTAGAATTTACATTTTCAAATTAACCGAAATTATATTGCTTCTAATTTTGAACAATGGATGAAATATCTTCAGATTTTGACACAAAAAACTGCAAGAAAAAAACTGCAAGAAAACCCAGCAAATGTGAACACCAGGAAACCTTCGTGTGGCCTACAGTTCGCACAACGTGGGCTGAAGGAAAACGGATTCGTCCGGATACTATGAGCTTCGAAGCCAAGGATATTGATTGCAATCTAGAGAAACTTTTAGCCGTGAAAGAATGACGACTCGGACTGTGAGCCAGACAGTTTAAGGGTAATTTTAGCGTCCCTGGACGTTCCCTCAATGGAAGCTCGTGATATTTTGCAGAATTTTGAAACATCGCTTTCGCGCTATTTTCCCCAAACATCTTAGAAAACATGCACTATTCCCTAAACAAACCTTGGAAAAGGACGCACCTGTCTAAGGTGGGTTTCTTTTGATGATTTCCTGTGTCAAATATTTTCCTATCGGAGTAAGTATTAACATAAATGATAATGAGCACTCAAGGCGTAATCATTGTTTGGTTTGGGCGTCCTGCTGATATTCTTAGAGAGACACCGATGAGTGGCGTTGAGTTAATGCTCTGAGAATTAAATAAAATGCCCCTTCTGTCAAGTGAAATGTTTTGGAATAATTGAAAATATTTTAGTTTCTTTTAGCTGCTCAGTGTGGTGTTTGTGAACACTGCTTGCATTTCTGTGCGTATCACGTTTGAAACGCTCGTCAAAGGATACGGCCAATCCCATATGCAACCAGCTCCTTGCTTCTTTGTACAGGCAAAGCTCGACGCAAGCATTGGCGGCTGAGAAGGTAATAATGGGTGGTGTGAGGTAATTACTTACCACCAACATTTAATGTAGTCAGAAAATCCTCTTATACCCAATTCACATCAGCAAAACATGCTTTGTTAAACCGGGCTTAACTGGATGAAAAACCAGAAACAGAGGACCGAAAAACTGAATTTTCCATGGGATTTGTACAATCGCCTGCTTGCATTTTCAAAATATTATATTTGAGGTCGACTAACATCGCTTTATACAAAATCTATGAAGAAGAAATTAAACTGTGTTTAACAAAACGTCTTCAAACATGTACAATCTTTGGTGTGAATGAACCATGGCTGGTATAATTTTCATTTATAGCTAACTTGCCCTTTGTATCTACGCAGCAAACATTTACGGGCCAGGTATCATTGACACCCGAGGACAGTCAGTAGACGTAATCCATACAATTCTCTTGAAGAAATCACAGAAAAGAGGTTTGATGACGAACAACTGCAACACCCACCTTTCTTAATAGCTTTGATTAAATTGGGTTCCAATTGAACAGAAACTGTTGCATCATTGAGACATTCTTCGTAGTTTCCTAAGGAATTCAGGAAGTAAGTGTCAGTCGTCATCACGTGCCAATTTAAGAATCCGTTTCTATAGCTGTCCTAGACTTGCCCTTAATTAAAAAAAGGCGACAATCATTTTATTGGATAAGATTGGGGGAGATAAGGTTCACATTTTGACCCAGATTTTTATTATGCGGAAATTTATAAACGACATTGAAAGAATGTGGCCACACCTTCGTTTTTCGCCTCTTGTCCTTTAGATATTTTAAACTTGGCAGCTGAGTATGGTCACAAGAAGCTCACAGAGTTCATCTTAGGACAATTCTAGGTATATTTATTTTGAGTTTGTGGTTTACTTATCAAAGAAGCAGCTCCACGCATCTTTTGTATCATATTAGTACCACGCTTCCTATGCTGAATAAGCCGACGCACACCCGAATTTCCTGGGTGCTGTATTACAAATTGTTCCAATTCTCCTTGGGGAACAATGTGTTTCGGAAAAAGTATTGTTCTTTGCAGCCTTGAAGACTTGAAGAAAATATGAGTAGATAACTCAGATCTGGGAATTTCGGTTTTTCTGTAGCTTCTCCTCACTTTAGACTATATGACCCTGTAAGTGCTTTGCCTACATTTGATTGATTTCCCAGGCATCTTTTAAGAGGACTTCTTGCTTTTTTTCTCCATAAAATTCGTCTTTTTAAAAAATTATTGATTCTTAAGTTAGCAGATGGCCCAGCCATTATTTCGGTAGTCGAGTCAGCAGAATATGAATCACAAGGACTGGCGAGGGAGGACATGACGTCACGCAAGAGAACGACCACCTTGATTTAAGGATACGCGCTTTTTGAGGGGTGACCACCATAAACTAAATTGTTCCGTTTTAGCTTGATATAATCGTAAACCTGCTGAGACGCGACAATTCGAAATGGAAGATGTTATACTGAGTGAATTAGACGCGTAATTCATTCTAACCACAGAACGGATAAACCTCTGCACAACATCAGTCCTGAGATGTTGGTCTTCGAACCTGTGTGGGAATTTTTCGATATTCTTATTGGTTGCTTTGTAATTTATTTGGCAAGTATGCTTATCGTAATTTTATGGTAAGAATATCTCACAATTGCGATGAAACTTTACTTTAGAATTTCATCCTAATGGAGAATTTCCGCGTGTGTGATCGATATGAAATATTAAAGTTGCCAGTTTCATTTCAATAATCAGGCGATAAATGATGCAAAAATGGCAGGGAAGACAGCAGGCGAGGATAAAATCCTGTTTAAAATGGGTGCAGATTGTACATTCATTATCCTCACTGAGTACGTTCCATGATAAATTTAGTAGTTCTTTTAAAAAGATTCTTACCCAAATGGAAATGAGCTGCTGCTCTGTTGCTATAAAGTTTGGCGTTCAGCCGTGTATCTTCGCAGTTCACTTGAAGACCCTCCGAGTAGGAGTTTATCGCGTTTTGATGTTCTCCCTGTCTGTATTCTTTGTTACCTTCCTCGAGACATACTCTTGCTATATCTAATAACACACCGGTTTAACATTAATGATTTCGTTTTCACAAGGTTTCGTTTTCATTTCGTTAGATCCCCTTTCTAATTCCTATCCTCTACAGGCCTTTCGTTCTTTTTAAACAGTCGGTTACTGCATATATGGGCCCGCCGACCATAAACCCTCACCCCATTGATATCCTAAAGTTTTGCAAACCGTTAACTCTAAGATGATGTTTTGAATCACTTAAAATGGTCTCCAGACCAATGAAATTCGGAGACTCTGGCCATATATGGCGTGGTGTGTTTGAAGGAACGCAGAATCAGATAAAACTTTTTGCAAACGTTATTGTCCATTTGATTTCCACGATCAGTCTCCTCTCGACCTTAGTTGCAAATGTTTTATCACAAATGTTTTTTAATTGTATCAGGATATATTTAGCAACAGAAGTGATTCATAATTTATAAAGCCACTGCAAAAGTGCACGTGGTGTAAATGAGAAGCATTTCCGACATTTTCTTTGATTTTGATTCAAATCTATCCCTGATACTGAGTACGGTACTAATTTTTTCATTACATTTTTCTCTTATTTCTCGCGGTAATAGATTTAATGATGATTTTCATTCCATGTATATGTATACAATTGTACACCTCGCACCTACAGCTTGTTCGTGACCCACGCAGAAATAAAACTCAGTGTTTCTCTGGTGATAAAGTTTGAAATTCGAGCACATAGTTTCTGTTTCAAAAGTTATTCACAGAACAGGTAAAAAACCACACCGAGGCGTCTTTTAAAGAATCTAATTTCTCACCTCTTAATGGATCATCGTATACCTCCAGTTTGGTGTCATTTGATGTGACTTGACTTTCGTTTGTCCCTGAAATTCGATCATTTGATAAACATTATTAATATTGCCAGAGAAAAGGGCAAAAATATGAAAAATAAAACTTTATTAAAATGAATTATTATGGATAAAAATTCATTTATAGTTCATGCGAATTGCTCCAATTATGACGAACGAGTTTGAAAAGCGCTTGGTCAAAACTGGTGTTCAGTTCCTTTTTCCGTGATGTCATCGGACGTTTTGAATCGTTCTGCGGATGACCGCTCTACTTCCAGTCCAGACTTGCCACTCTTGATAATGCCCACTAAAGATATACTTAACTATTCCACCACTAAACATTACAACCGCTTCAAAATGACCACGTAGCAGTGTTTTTCTATTGCTCTCTCGCACCTGTGACCGGAATCTCATTGTTCAAATCCAGTTCTTCTCCCGTTGTCGGAAGTTTACTCTCCGCCATAGCTAGAAATAAAATAGAGGAGAATTTTACTGCGCTGGGAAACATCCTCACGAAACAAAAAAGGATGCTAAAATGAAAATTACCCAAAAAGAAAGGCGGAGACCAACTTGTCTCTGATACTTAGATAAAACGAAAGAGTGAGAATTTCAAAGTTTTCTCCGTCATGCTATTGTGATGGGATTTTGGTTATAAAATTCCCCACCATCTGAATACCGACGGCAGTATAATGCCTGTGAGTTTCCCGTGAAACGGGGTGGTTGAATCTTCGAATTGTACGGCGCATTTTACAAACTCAAAACGCAGTCAAGGGTTTGCACAACTGTCTCGAGTTCTTCCAAAATCCCGCAACCTAATATGCAATAAAGCGCGTTTACATCGATGATCCAACCAATTAGAGCTAGAGAAATTGCGAATTTTCCATAGCTCTCGTGAATCAGAGTTTTCAGTGCGTTTTTCCAATGTGTGAAAAAGGCTCCAGCGAATAAAATATTCCACAATTATTCTTCTTAAGAGAGCTAAGTAATCATGAATGACCGGAAGCCACTAACCCGTAACAAAATGTGTTTTGGGAAAAGTCTTCCTTTTTCATTTCTAATTTATTATGATCCAGAATTTTCTGAATAAGATGGTATTTTAGGAGCTGTATATTTATCTTTTCATCGGCCTTCTGGCTATCGAGAACAATAATCTGATAACACATCAAAAGCAAGTTGAGAACCAAGCGCTGGTTCTCGCATCTTGTATGCCATCGAGAGACTTTGCTGCCAGATTATAGGAACATTTGAAACCGAAATAAAACTGAAAAAACCTTTAGATATCACAAAACTATGGAGAAATTAAAAAATATCTGTAAATGCATTGCTGACAGAAAAGAATCTGTTGCTGTATAATTTTAAAGGGGATATAAGGAAATTTCTCTTGTTAGACAGGCGTGGCATTCTCCGCGTCGTTCAGAGCAGGATTCTAGGCAATCATTAGCATTTTCTGAGCCTGAATGTTTACCTTCCGAAGTAAACACATGAGCTAATGTAGTTTGCATTGCGCAAAGAGAATTCCCGCCAAAACCGAATTCTGACCGAATCGCGAAATACGACAAATCACCTTTTGGATGAGTAGTTTAAATTGTTGAAGAAAAAATAATAGTAATTTTTCAGGAGGTCGAACGATGTTTGCAAAGCTTCCAAAAAAATAATAAAAAAAAATAAATAAATAAATGGTAACCTTGACGAAGTTTCATTTTCATACATGATCAAGAATTCGTAGTAATTAAAATTTTTGGGGTTAAATTTTTCATTTTTATGTCACCTCGCTCTTTATCACGTTACTCCAATTTCTCGTCCCTTTTTTTGTTCTTTTCATGTGGTGTAACACACGAGCGAACAAGATTAAGGCGAATCCAGCTGTGTTCTGATCAGCTACCCGAGAGGGTGTGATGTGCTCTCTCAGGATTTTCCACATTGAAGTCGAAAAAAAGAAATGATGTGCTTGTAGCCGGTTCATCACTTTGTAATTTCTTAACCAGAAATTTTTTTGTTTCACAAACATAAAACGTTTTCCAGCAGTTTTAAATACAAAGGAGCCACGAATATATCTCCTTGTAAGTCAAAATAAAGAAAACTATAACGATTCCCGCAGATTCATTCATTTTGGTAACCTCTTGGTTTATATAAATAATTTTTCTGTATAATATATCCCTCATTGACGAAACCATCGTCTCGGTCCTTAACAATCCTGAGAAGGAACTTGGCCGGATTTACGCCTTCTTAAGCTCATGATCAAGCATGTCCAGTTGCGGGGTATTACGTGTCATGATTAACAATTATTCGCCGCAGGCTCAGTGAATATTGTTGAATAATCCCTGAGACTAATCATCGGAACAATTACACTATAGTAATTTATAATATGAAAACTGTTTAGTACCTGTTAAACCGCCATCCTCTGAATCGGTTTATCCTCCAAAAGTTTTCATTATTATTTCTACATGCCTGAAAATATCAAGAATAATACGTTTTGCTTTACTAAAATTTCGATAAAACCACGAAAGATTTCATATTAACGAGCGATAGATCAGTCTATAATCCCTTGTCACGAATAAATAACAAATCTGTTCAAATGTCCGGTTTAGAAAATTAAAATTGTTCTTTCACTTCATGAAAGTTCTCGTGCCTGTCTTTTTCTTTGTTTTTGTTCTTGCTCTCTAATTTTGTGTATATTTTTAATGTTTCTGTATTCCTATTACTTCATCCTGCGATTGAGACTTAGGGTCAGTTATTTTCCTTTCAACATAGGACACAAACTATCCGCAATTCAAAATCCTTTTTTCAGTTCCCCGGAGAAGGACAGTCTCCCCCATATAAAACTGAATTGACAAGGATGAAGACAACCTACGAGTTATACTTTTACTGTACCAAGAGCTCAAACGGTGCGCATAGTACTGGAATCAGCCATGCTGTACTTTCATAAATCTCTCTTGGGCAGATAAATCAGCTACCTCATTGTTTATTATGTTTATCTTAGTGTCAGCATTGAGAAATAATTCCTTCATCGAATTCAAAGTTATAAAGAGGGAGGAGAAGTTTTTTGCTCGGGGGTCGAATGAAGGAAAAAATCTTCGAAGTTAAGAGAATCTAAGCATCTTCGAGGATTCAATCTCTAAACCCGTAGATTTCGATGTTTTTAATTTCTTCATTCGACGATGGAGCTTGAACTTTACCTTCTTTCTTTATCTGTTTTCAGACATGACGCTTTCGACAATTCAGATCCCAGTAGAATGAAGGAAGTTTGTCAAATATGAACCCAGCGTATGTCTTGACTCACTAACGAGGTCTTTTGTAGCTTTGGACTGGAGATTTAGATCATAAAATTTGAATGTCGAGGTTCGAATCCTCGAGGGAAACTATATATTTTTCTTTCTCCCTCGCCTACGACGAATTAATGTCATATTTCTCTGATTCTTTCGTGTTAAGTTTAAATTTTTTCATATGTGTATTTAGTCATTAATCCAGTACTCACCTGTAACTCTTGTGAAATTGAGATTTTCCCCGCAAGTGTATAACAAAACGGTATACTTGGTAACACGAGCAGTTTCGAAGAGGCTGAATACAATTATGAGCTTATTAAACTGAAAACAAAAAATGGTGTATCATTTGTTAAATTTGTAAGTCACGAATCTATTTTTTGGTCCTGCATTCTATTTTACTTTTCAATCGTCATGCTGGAACTGGATGTCAAATAAATTTTCAGCTTTTTCATTTTCGTGTTAAGGAGCGGAGTAGGTCACAAATATGAATGTAACGCTGAGTCTAACTCCCCAGCAACCACTCACAGTCTCATTGACTAAATGTTCGGTAGTCAGGAATTTTTACATAAATTCTACTGAGAGGTTCTTTCAAACGTCTTAATAGTGTTGGATGCTTGTTAAGAAATTTCATATGAATTCAAAGTTTAGTAAGTTTTTTGGTTGACGAGTTATTGCCTAGTGTCATATAAAGAGCGTTTGATCCGATCATGAAGTCATTTCCCATGCACCCGTTTCCTGTCACGCTCTCGTCGCCTTCGCGGTCACACAACAAGCAAGAGCTTCCACTAATTGGTGTTAAGAATTACTAACAGAAATATAATTCCTTGAGTGAGGCTTAAGCGTATAACATGGCGTTTATAGGTTAAATTTGGACTGACCAAAAATCACTGTAAATTTTTCAGGTGCACCTGATGGCCGGCAAA